CAATTTAGTGGGTGATGGCTGCAACGCGATATGACAGACGCTTGCAACATTACAATCAAAAAGACTTGCAAAGTAGCAAAGAATCTATGAACAGGAATTAGCCGAAGATTCAAAAAATAAGCTCATGAAACGAAGGATTGAGAAATGCAACAATGCGCCGTCCTGATAAATCCCTTCTAATCTATCCTTTGAAAAAAAAAACACCTCAAAACAAATCTGTTTCCTTCAACGAGGACAAGGAAAGGTAAATTTAAGCCAGGAACGAAAAAATAAATAAAAACCCTGAAGTCCAAATATAAAATCGCAACCTACGTCACTCCAGTACTGTTAGTTCGTGTGGGCATCTGCATTCGAGTTGCTGTCGCAGGTTTTCCCGGTCCAGCAGGTGCGTCCGCTGGCAAAGGTTCACCTCCACGTGCATCCAATGGATTATACTCGTGCCCATCGTAATTAGCATCAAAGAACTTTTTGAACCATTGCAGAAATTCGAAATTGTCCTGCAAACGCGTCGTTCATATATTTCAAGGCAATATAAAGTTAAAAAAAACAACTAGGCAGGATACTGGAGGAAAACTGCATATCCCACCTGAAACTTTCCCTTGATGAGTCTATCCACTGGAACGATTTTCTCCACACCAAGCGTCTTCCATGACGTTTGCACGATTTTCCAGTTCCCTAGCCAGTCAAGCTCAAGATTGGAATTCCATTTCACTTTTCGCAACGGAATCGACCCAGGAAATAGGAAGTCGGTGAACTAAAGCGCAAACTCAGATTAAAAAAAGCAGGATATTTGAAATGATGGAGAAAATATGGGATTATGGATCAAATTCCAAAAATAAACAAAGTACGGTACTGATTCATTATTTAACCTGACTTTGCAAAGTCAAAACTGAAGTGTTGCCCCAGACGGTGTTTGCCAAATTTCGTGGATGACTGAGTCGAAAAAATACAATTTTCTTGCAAGAACATGCTACAGCGATACACCTTCTCATAGAAAAAAGCTGATGGGGTCATTCGGAAAGTGATGATGTCTTTTCACGCATGACAGGTGGACACAGTATGGCATTAAATCGCTCGTAAAGTGCAAAGCCGCACACTTCTGAAAGGCTCGTGCAGACGTATTACAAGTGAATGTCGTGGAAAAACTTCAAATGAGGATCAAAAAGTACCAGGTAAGTTTTGCTACCTAGTTGAAGAGTCATTATAGTAAATCATTGCAAAGTCGACTTGATAATTTACACAGCTGTAACTACCTATACTGACGTCTGAAAAAACACCCTGCAAAAAAGGGTGATGCAGTGATGCAACACAACGACTATAGCTATGAGCCCGGTTGAAAACAGACATGAAAGGTGTAGAAAACATTCGCTTTTTTGTATCCGTTATCAAAACAAGCGAATTCTCCCTGTGATTATGTTTCGTACGCAATTCGCAAAAACAAACAGTTCAGACTTTCAAGCACAACCATTCATCAATGGAAATCAAGCAGCGTTTTTAATTCTACGAAGTTTTGAGAGCTGTGCTTGAATGGAACTTCTAGTACTGAAATCATGTTATACGCGGCATATAATGAATTTCGTAGTGCCAGGCTTTTGGCTAAAATCAAATTTCCATCAAACTTTCTTCTACTCTGACTAAAGGCAGTATCCGGTCAGAAGTCAATTTTGAGATTTTTGTGCTTGCCCGGACCTATTC